CTGCCCGCGGTTCGCCGCCCCAGGCCAATGGGGGCGGCGAGAAGCGGCGCGGGTGAGCGATGTAACCCAGATGTCAAGTTGCGTGGCAGAAACTGCACCCAGTTGCAAAATGGGAGGGTTGCTATTCGTGGCATCACACCGGCCTCCGTAGGCCAACCTCCAAGGGCAGAGGAGGCCAAGCCACAAGCCTTCAAAAGGTGACTGGCCTAGATCCTCTAGCTTTCCCCTGCTGATGACAAGGCTTTTTCTCAGCTCATTTCACCACCCTCTGTCATGCAGGGGTTGGGGTTATCACAGGGACAGGCCAGTGGCAGCAGTAGGAGTGCCTTGCTGGACAGCTAGGGGAGCTGGGAAAAAGGAAGTCTTCATGTTTCTGCCTGGTTTTGAACCAGGGGCCTTTTGCGTGTTAGGCAAATGTGATAACCACTACACTACAGAAACCCTATTGCAGTGCTTTGCCTCTCCCTTCATAAGAACATAAGAATGGCCATACTGGGTCAGACCTAAGGTCCATCCAGCCCAGTATCCTGTCTGCCAACAATGGCCAATGCCCGGTGCCCCAGAGGGAGTGAACCTAACAGGTAATGATCAAGTGATCTCTCTCCTGCCATCCATCTCCACCCTCTGACAAACAGAGGTTAGGGATACCATTCCTTACCCATCCTGACTAATAGCTATTAATGGACTTAACCTCCATTAATTTATCTGCAAAAAGAAAGAGGAGTACTTCTAGCACCTTAGAGACTAACAAATTTATTTGAGCATAAGCTTTTGTGGGCTAAAACCCACTTAATCGGATGCATGCACTGGAAAATACTGTAGGAAGAAATATATATAGACACAGAGAACATGAAAAAATGGGTGTTGCCATACACACTATAATGAGAGTGATCAGTTAAGGTGAGCTATTATCAGCAGGAAAAAAAAACCCTTTTGTAGTGATAATCAGGATGGTCCATTTCCAACAGTTGACAAGAAGGTGTCAATAACAGTAGGGGGCGGAAAATCAACATGGGAAAATAGTGTTACTTTGTGTAATGACCCATCCACTCCCAGTCTTTATTCAAGCCTCATTTAATGGTGTCCAGTTTGCAAATTAATTCCAATTTAGCAGTCTCTCGTTGGAGTCTGTTTTTGAAGGTTTTTTGTTCTAATATTGTGACTTTTAGGTCTGTAATTGAGTGACCAGGGAGCTCGAAGTGTTCTCCGACTGGTTTTTGAATGTTATAATTCAAACGTCTGATTTGTGTCCTTTTATTCTTTTATGTAGAGACTGTCTGGTTTGGCCAATGTACATGGCAGAGGGACATTGATGGCACATGATGGCATATATCACATTGGTAGATGTGCAGGTGACAGAGCCTCTGATAGTGTGGCTCATGTGATTAGGTCCTATGATGGTATCCCCTGAATAGATATGTGAACAGAGTTGGCAACGGGCTTTGTTGCAAGGATAGGTTCCTGGATTAGTGTTTCTGTTGTGTGGTTGCTGGTGAATATTTGCTTCAGGTTGGGGGGCTGTCTGTAAGCAAGGACTGGCCTGTCTCCCAAGTTCTGTGAGAGTGAGGGATCATCCTTCAGGATAGGTTGTAGATCCTTGATGATGCGTTGGAGAGGTTGCAGTTGGAGGCTGAAGGTTACTTTCTTTGTTGGGCCTGTCCTGTAGTAGGTGACATCTGGGTACTCTTCTGGCTCTGACAATCTGTTTCTTCTCTTCAGCAGGTAGGTATTGTAGTTGTAAGAATGCTTGATAGAGGTCTTGTAGGTGTTTGTCTCTGTCTGAGGGGTTGGCGCAAATGCGGTTGTATCTTAGAGCTTGGCTGTAGACAATGGATCATGTGGTGTTGTCTGGGTGAGAGCTGGAGGCATGTAGGTAAATATAGCGGTCAGTAGGTTTCCGGTATAGGGTGGTGTTTGTGTGACCATCGCTTATTAGCACTGTAGTGTCCAGGAAGTGGATCTCTTGTGTGGACTTGTCCAGGCTGAGGTTGATGGTGGGGTGGAAATTGTTGAAATCATGGTGGAATTCCTCAAGGACTTCTTTTCCATGGGTCCAGCTGATGAAGATGTCATCAGTGTAGCGCAAGTAGAGTAGTGGTGTCAGGGGATGAGAGCTGAGGAAGCATTGTTCTAAGTTAGCCATAAAAATGTTGGCATAATGTGGGGTCATGCGGGTACCCATAGCAGTGACGCTGACTTGAAGATATACATTCTCCCAAAATGTGAAATAGTTGTGGGTGAGGACAGAGTCACAAAGGTCAGCCACCAGGTTTGCCGTGACGTTATCGGGGATACTGTTCCTAATGGCTTGTAGTCCATCTTTGTGTGGAATGTTGGTGTAGAGTGTTTCTACATCCATAAAAAGCAACAGAGGGTCCTGTGGCACCTTTAAGACTAACAGAAGTATTGGGAGCATAAGCTTTCGTGGGTAAGAACCTCACTTCTTCAGATGCAAGTAATGGAAATCTCCAGAGGCAGGTATAAATCAGTATGGAGATAACGAGGTTAGTTCAACCAGGGAGGGTGAGGTGCTCTGCTAGCAGTTGAGGTGTGAACACCAAGGGAGGAGAAACTGCTTCTATAGTTGGATAGCCATTCACAGTCTTTGTTTAATCCTGATCTGATGGTGTCAAATTTGCAAATGAACTGGAGCTCAGCAGTTTCTCTTTGGAGTCTGGTCCTGAAGTTTTTTTGCTGTAAGATGGCTACCTTTACATCTGCTATTGTGTGGCCAGGGAGGTTGAAGTGTTCTCCTACAGGTTTTTGTATATTGCCATTCCTGATATCTGACTTGTGTCCATTTATCCTCTTGCGTAGTAACTGTCCAGTTTGGCCAATGTACATAGCAGAGGGGCATTGCTGGCATATGATGGCATATATAACATTGGTGGACATGCAGGTGAATGAGCCGGTGATGTTGTAGCTGATCTGGTTAGGTCCTGTGATGGTGTTGCTGGTGTAGATATGTGGGCAGAGTTGGCATCGAGGTTTGTTGCATGGGTTGGTTCCTGAGTTAGAGTTGTTATGGTGCGGTGCGTGGTTGCTGGTGAGAATATGCTTAAGGTTGGCAGGTTGTCTGTGGGCGAGGACTGGCCTGCCTCCCAAGGTCTCACGGAGACATAGGATCCCCGGGCCCTTTAAATCACCCCCGGAGCTACCAGCTGCAGAGGCGGCTGGGAGCCCTGGGGTTTGGGCAGGGGTGAAAGTAATTTACATTTCTTACCCATATGGTCCAATCGCAAGCAACCCACCTCTCCTACGTACTTCATGGATCCCTCCCATTGCATGACATAGATATAGAAAATAAAGCTGCTACTGCTACTAAAAATACTGTCTGTAATAAAACTTTAATATTGGAATAAGCCTGAAAAAGTGAAAACTCACTGTCAAATTTTTCTCCGTGTCTTCCCTCCTCCTCCAGCCAGGCTGCCAACGCAAGGTTCCCTGCTTTCTCCCTGCCTGGCACTCAGCAGCGGCTGCAGGGGCTTCCCTCTAGCTTGCAGCAGGGAGCAGGGAGACTGGCTGAAGGAGGGAGAAGCCTGCCCCCTGCATAAGAACAGTTTAAACTCAGCTGTTCCCTGCGCGGTTCAGCTCCCGGGGTTAGGAGCCATTTCTGGCATCATCCTTGTTAATTTCACTCCCAGTTGTTGGGAGGAGGGGGGAGGAGAGAAAGGTGTGTGTGACCATGGAAGGGGCAGTTCTTTTCTGCCCCCGGGATGAGGGGATCTCCTATACACAAAAAATACAATCAAAATCAGGAACCATTTCCAAGTTCAAATCTATCCCATTGCCTCCCCAGCAGAGGATCGTGGTTGTGATGTCCAAACTGCTTGCAGATCCTCTTTGAAATGTTACTGTTTAAAAAAAACACAAAAAACATGGAGAACATGGTGGAAAGATGTGTCATGATGATCAGGGTTTATTTTGAGCAAATCAATTTTGCTAAAGCAACTAAAGATTCACAGGGAAAGCAAATAGCCCCCATAGACAAAACCACAAAGGGATTGGAGGGGAAAACTGGATACTCAGGGAAATTATTGTGCCTCCTTTGAAAGAAATAGTAGTTTTCATTCCACCCTCTTTATATATTGATTTAAACACCTGAAATGTCCTTAGGACATCGTGTGCAATCTCAGATCTCTTTTGGTTTTGTCCTGCCTGCAGAGTGCAGAGGCTGAAATTGACAAAACTTTCTCTAATAGCGGATTTGCTATTCATTTCATGTGTGGGACCTTCTTATACACAGTGGAATCCCATGCCGTATGTGAAATTGTGGCTTGGAAAGGGCCGACGTGCAGCATATTCATCTCGAGGCATGGCACGACAACAGGGAGAGCAGCAGGAGCAGCTGTATGGCCCAATGTGGGAGTTGCTATAAGGATGCTTTGCTCCATCCAGTCCTTCCCATGGCCCCTTGCTTGCCCACGCTGGGCTGGCCCACTCACACCTTCCACGTGCCAGGACTGAGCCGGGGGCTGGGGCGGCTTTGCTGTGGGTAGTGGTTCCGGTTGGAGCTGCAGCCCCCACCTGCTACCCCCTATTGCAGGCAGAAGCAGCAGGCATCTCAGCCATTCTCCCTGCTCACTGCAAGCTAGACCCTACAGGAGAGCCCCTGCTGAGTGGGGGGTGGGGAGGAATGCAGAGCCTTACTGTCTGCAGCCTGGCTGGAGGAGGAGGGAGGAGACGAGACACCAATGTGACAGTGAGTTTTCCCCTTCCACCTGCTTTTATTAGCTCTGGATTTAAGCTGTGCAGCCAAATGCTTGTATTTGTTGTGTATATTAGTATTGGTGAGATCCCCTCATCCCGGGGGCAGAAAAGAACTGCCCCTGCCATGGTCACACACACCCTCCCCCCAGCAACTGGGAGTGAAATTAACAAGGATGCCAGAAACGGCTCCTAACCCCGGGGGCTGAACTGAGGGGTTATATCTGGGGAATAGCTGAGATTAAACTGTTCTTATGCAGGGGGCAGGCTTCTCCCTCCCTCAGCCAGTCTCCTTTTCTTACCGGTCCTCCGTACCGGCCCGTACCGGCTTACTTACACCTCTGGAGATGGGAATACCAGCATTTATCGACATGCCCTCCAGCTCTGTGCACTGGGTCAGCTGTAACTGGATGGTGGAGGGAGTAGTTGGAGCAGCTTGGCAGAGCTGTTACTGTGGTATGCAGAGAGGTGCATGTGAACCCTGAGGGACCGAGTCTTCCCCATTTCAATGCACTCAATGGGCTGTTGCTGAGACAGGGCAGATTAGAGGTGGCATTGTGGGAGTGGCATGAACCTTCTCTCTTCATTTCCCCTTCTTAGAATGGAGGGGACAGGAATCCTGACCCACATTCTCATCGTTCTCCTGCATGATGTCTCTGCAGAGGGCTCTTTGACGGGGGTCCAGCAGAGCCCACTCTTCCTTGGTGAAGTACACAGCCACCTCCTCAAAAGTCACCAGCCCCTGAAAGAGCAAGAGCTATTCATGGGGAAAAGGAGCCAATCAAATGGATGCTCTGAGAGAGAGACAGTCAGCAGAGTCCCACCCCCACCCTGCTCAGAGCAACCAGGAGGCAAAACAGGAAGCGAGATAGAGATCCCCTCATCCCTCCCAGCAGACAGAGGGGGAAGGATCTTCTCATTCATCACACACCTACAAGCCAGAGGCTGATATGGGAAATGGGGTCCCCAGCAGGCTCCAGGGTTGGCTCCCCAGTAGGAATCCCAACAGACTTCCCATTGCCAGCAGCTGGAAGGAAGGGGAGGGGTTATCTACTCTAGGCCACACTGGTGGATAACCTCCCACCCCCTTCCTTTGAATCTCATAGCAGCCCCTGGCGAGTACGTTTATGTTCTTGCACTGGGAATCTGATACATTTTCCCAGTGCTGTCCAGTGTTCCCCCACCAGCCCTATTCTACAAATAGGATAATTTCCTCCCCCAAACCCCATGGGTCTGTTCCTGGAATCCAGGACTTGGTTTAAACAATTCCCAGCAAGTTTGTCACATGCCTTGTCCCCCTCCCTTTCTCCATCCTGGGTATTTCCTGCCCCCCTCCCACCTCCAGACTAAACTCCCCCAAAGATCCCAGGCCCTCAGTATTTCCTGCCCCTCTCCTTCCAGCAGGAACTCACTAGCAACCCCACAATAATCCCTACCTGGACTGGCTCCACTACAGCCATTTCCCTTCCCTGTCCCGTTGGAGGCTGGGACAATCTGGAGCCAAAGGTGGGTGTTACTCTGCCACCTGTCAGGGTGAGAAGGGTGACAGGGAAGATTTCAGAAGGACCTTTAGTTTCTGTCACATCATGATCTTCCCCGGCCCTTTCCCTGCACAAGATGTTTCTGACTCTCATGCTGGGAAAATAATCCATCACTTTATCACAGCCCAGACCCAACTCCTCCCACCAACACTAAATCCACTGCACTAGTTTTAAAACCCTGAGAGCAACTCCCCCAATGGTGGGGACCAGGGGGAGGCAGGGACAGGACAAAGTCTGCCCAGTGTAGGTGCAGTAAATGAAATGAAGCTGGGAGGCATTGTCAATAGAGACACATAGTGGACCATTAAGTGGGGCTCACATCCATTTTATGTATTATGTTCCTCACCCTCATGCTTCCGGGTTTCAGCCACCACTGCCAGGGGTCAGGAAGGGATTTTTTCCCCCAATGTATTTTGAGAGGGTTTTTAAATCTCCTTCCTCTGAAGTTTCAGGAATGCCCAGAGAAGAAGACAGGATATTAGGCAGGGTGGATATCTCTCTCTCTCTCTCTCTCTTCATGCTCCCATGCTCAGAGTCTAACTGATCACTATAGGTAGGATGGGGAAGGAATGTCCCCCCTGGGTCAGGTTGTAGGTGACCTGGGGGGTTTTCATCTTCCTCTGCAGCGTGGGGTGCGGGGCACTCACTAGGATTACCCAGAAATATCTCACTTAACCATTTCCCTTCCACTGCAGGGGTCTGGGGCACTGGTGCACCTCGGTCCCTCCTATTCTCTGCCTGGGCATGTAAGAGTCTAGTCTCCTGTGGGCTGCGAGATTTTGGTCTCACTCCAGCTGTTGGGTTTAGTGGGCAGGTGCTGGGTGGTGTTGGCAGCCAATGCTATGCAGGAGGTCAGACCAGATGATCCAGTGGTCCCTTCTGGCCTTAGACTTTATGACTCTATGACTGGATGTGGGCAGGTTTGGGAGCTTGTGACCTTCCCACCCCCCACTTATTTCTCCTTCATTTTCTGTCTTCTCTTTCCCCCTCTCCCCTCCCTCTGCCTGGGAGACTTAGTAACCAACTATCCCTGGGTTCCTTTGCTCTCCTGTGATTGCTGACAGCACTGAATGCCTGTTTGGATCCAAACTTTCTGCCTCATCCCCATCTCTACTAACCACCGCAGGGGTTTCAGTCTCGCTGGCTGTGATACAGGCAATGAAAGGGTTACTGTGCACAGCTGCAAACTGCCTAATTTCACAGCTGAAATAAGTAAGCAAGTATCTCTTATTGGAAGTCAAATCTTTCCTGACCCCCGAACATTTACTATAAAAGTAAGAATACAACATGTATCCGTGCTGAGTCTATATATAACTTGTATATTTCAAGAGGCTGACAGAGAACACTTGACCACAATGAACAGGGGAGTGCAGGAGTGGGGGAGTGAGATTTTCTTTGCTTTAGATCATAATGAAACACTCAACATCTCACAGCCTCCTGAGTGCCTTTCCTGAGCCCCCGGGGGTCGCAAACCACCAGCTGAGAAACACCAGCCTAGATCATTCTTTTATATCATCATGGATTACGAATGGGAAGCGAGTGCTACATTGTATCTGGACAAAGCATGAATGAGCCAAGTGCAATGGCATGTATGCACCAACCCTGGGAACTGCTAATTCCAATAACACCCACATTTTGAACTCTCTGCCTTACTTCACTGTAAAAAGAAGACAAAAGTTCACAAGATCTTACAATACCCTATAGCAACAAGTTGATGAAAAGTAGGTTACATTATTTGCAGCCATGAAGGCCATGCACAGGTGCAAGAAGACCAAATACAGAAAATTAAATAAGTCCAAACAATAGGAGGTTAATGATGTTGTTCAGGGCCAGTACTAAGATCTATGCTTGGTGAACAAAAAAACGTGGGAACAAAGTTACCTATGCCAAATTTGGCCTTAGGGACATCGATATAATTAGTAAACAAAATAATAAAAATAAATTGTGTCATCCACGTTTACTTCTTTTGGGACTTTTTTTCAAAAGGGGGGAGAGGGAAGAATGAAAAACATCTATCAACTTCGCAAGACTGTATCTCATCACAATGTTCCTCAACCCAAGTCAGAAGAAGCAAACTAAATTGAGAGGCTTTGTTCTGATTATGTTTTAATTTGTATTTCCTCTTTTTCCCCTGATGATCCATGATCCTTAATTTGCACTTTTTAAATTTTGAGCATAGTTATATCCTGTTCCTTTCTCAGAAAGGCTGTAAGGGTTTGTCAGTTAAAATATGTTCCAAAGAGACCCACTGCTCCAGTGATTAGTGACTTTCTTAAAGTCTCTAAGTGCTTGTAAGTTAAATTATTTTCTAAAAGGACCCCTCAAAAGAGCAGGATTAGTAATGAAACTTACCCTGTTTCCCACAAGTCACTGCCTTTGTGCCTTTACTCTCCGGTGCAACGCCTTTCAAAAATTCTAGCTTTGCTGAAGATGTTCCCCAGAAGTTAATTATCCCAGGGATGAACAGGAATGTATTGGGAGGGAAATTAAGATTCTATCTTAAATGTATAAAATAATTCCAAGAAATATACATTATTTTAAGGAATAAATTTAAGCATAAAAGAAGCTTAGAGCAAACATTTATTAGAAAAAACCTATTCATACTTGAAGTACAAGTTATGCAAAAAAGAGATTGAATTGCTGTTTTAACAAAGTTATCTGCTAATAGATGTTTTATTAAATTAAAGTGTAAAAATCAGCTCACAAGAGTGAAAAGTGCACTAAAATAATGTTACAAATGTAAATACAGTACCAATTTGAAAAAGGCACAACAAATACAAAAAGTCTATACTTTTTTAAAGCACAAAAAAGCTAAAAAACTCGAACTATACTAACAACTTTCAAATGCATGTTTAAAAAAAGCTCAGCCTTTGTATCTTTTAAAAAAAGTATCAAGCAGACATTCAAAAACAGGAAGAGTTGTCAAAATCTCATCGGTTTAAAAAAAATAAAAGCTTTAAAATCAGACTATGAAAACTTAATTACTAAACACTATTAATATTACTGCAATTAAAAATGCCAAAATAAAATTACTAACATTAATTTAGTCAGTAAAAAATGCAATAAATAAAAAAAGTTAAAGCAAAAAAAATAGAATACAAAAAAAACCTGCAAAAAAATTGAAATGCTTAAGTGACATTGATGAGCTAAAACACTTAAGAGACAAGTCAGTTCAAAATACAGTGGTGCAAGAACAAAGTAACATCGCTTCACATTGTTCCACAGCTTCCAAGTGCTGGAGGCTGCGATCCCCTGTTGCTAACAGAGTCATTGGTCTGAAATCTCCCCGTGACCCATCAGAGACAGACACATACCTTTGTCACTCCCCAGCTCCAGTCGCAGCATCACTAGGGGAAGGAGAGGACGGGAGAGGTGAGAATTCAGGACCTCGCATTCAAGGGAGGTTCCCATTGGTTATTAATGTAACTGCTGTTAACTATGAGATGGTGACAGAGATCAGAGGCCGATAATGCAGCCGCTGCAGACAGAGCCAGCCCCACAGGGCTGCTTCATGGAGAAGGGCAACTCGCTGAGCTGGGCTGTGAGATGGAGCTGAGGATCAGTGACATCACTAGTCCCCAAATCCTCCCCAGGGCCAGGGTCGCTCTAACCAGAGGAGACGCCACCCCCAGACTCCAACTCACCTTTGAATCCCAGCAGCACCTCCTGCAGCATGGCACTTTTCAAAGAGAAATCCCTGAGTCTCTTCTCCAGCTTAACAAACCCCGGCTCCGGCTTCTGAAACATCCCGTCTTCCCTGATGGGGAAAAGAGGGGTGAGAAATAGGCCTGATCCCCAATTTGTGAGGCCAGCAACCCCCAAACTCCAGGAAACCTGGATCTGAGCTTTGTAGCCTGAGATGGTCATTGTCATGGTGAGTCACCTGCCCCCATCTCTCTGGAGAGCACAGGGATGAGAAGTGGAGAGACACTAGAGCAAGGAATGGAGACATTGTTCAGGAGCTTTCTCGGGGACGCTCTGGTTCTGTGGGGTGCTGAGCCACCTCCGACACTGGTTTATTGCAGTAAACCAGCACTGGGATTATGTGGAAAGGGAGGAGACACAGACCAAAGAATGGGCAGGTCCTACATGCTGACAGTGGCCACAGATAGAGCCCAGGTCTTCAGCAGGAAATGAACGTGGGCCCTTTAATGCCACTTTCAGCTGAAGCGGTAACTCTGGGGCAACCAGCTCATTTGGCAGAGAGGGCCATATTTCCCTGTCCGTTACGGCCAGTGGCCCAGGGCATCAGTTTAGGACTCTGTGCCCTGCTCCATTCACAGCAGAACACCCACTGCTCTCCATGGGACACCCACGTACAAAGAACAAGGAAATAAAATTTTACTTCTTATTATTTTGCCAAGTCTTTGTCAGTCACACTCAGTGTCACTCAGGAGGAAAACAGACCCCTCCCGGACACCCCTGTAGGGCCCCTGCTTGTTCTTCCCTGTGTTTCCCTTCCTTTCCCACCCTCCTTTCTCCATTTCTCTCTTCCTTCCTTGTCCTTGTGTCTCTCCTCTGTTCTTCCCTCCCTACAGCAACCTCCTATTCCCACCCCACAAAGGCTTCACTCCTTCCCCGTTCCACCTGCTCAAGTGATCAGCCAGGGAACTTGAATGTTGACATCGAAGTGTCCTCATTTCAGTTGATACTCCGATGACATTAACAGGGACAGGAGAGTTCACACTCTCTGAGCTACGGCTTCAGGATGCTGGCAGCCCCAGCAAGGCAACACTGTCTCCGTTTACACTGGGGAGTGCTGAGGGCCAGCAACTCACTTTAAAAAATGTGAAAGCTGAGATTCTGCACCCTCTGAATACATGACACAGCCACATCAGTCCGGGAGACAGGCCAGGTCTGTCCCATCAGCCCTGGGTCTAGCAGCCCTGCTGTGACCTCATTAGCGATCAGACAGTACAGGGGAGTTGCATCTTATGCGGGGATTAGGTTCTAAAGTCAGCGAGTAAGGCGAAAATCGCGTATAGTCAAATGCTTGAGTGGAATGGGAAGCGGAATCGCCTGCACTACAGGTACAGTATTTAAATTATTTTTCTTTTTTTGTTGTTTTGCCAAGCACGTATACTTAAAATCGCGTAAGTTAAATGCACCTATGATGCGACTCCACTGTAAACGGCTCTTCTCCTACCTGAGTCACCCACTAGGGGAGACAGAATCACACGCTCCAAGGGCAGGGAGCAGCTTCCTATTCAGTGCAGTTATCAAACCTAACGGCCCATGAGGGGGAGGGAAATGGAGCCCAGGACTTACCTGCCCCCAGTGCTCCCAGCACCCTAAAGAGGGAGAAAAAGGGGAGGCCGTCAGTGGGAGTGTCCCTGGGTGGGGAGGCCTCCTGCTCTGCAGGGGTCACCATTGAAGCCTCGGGCAGTAGGGGAATTTCAGGTTTACATTCCCAGAGCAGCTGCCACCCCCTACCAGGGACTTTCCCCTATGCAGCCCCAGCAATCCCTGCTGGCAGGTCGCCACTGCGGAAACCTTCTCCCCAGGCACTTTACAGGCAGAAGATATTTCTCTGCATTGAGAACCAAATTCCTCCCAGTGCTGAGAGACCCAGAAGGCCCCTGGCCCCACTAAACCCATTAACCTGCAGTGAGAGGGGCCTTAGGCTTGCTCGGGACCTCAGCATGGTGGGGGAGGGGATTTCACCCTCCAAGTGCAAATGCAGACAGACATTTCCAGGAGAGAAGGTCTTGGGGCTGCAGCATCCAGAACTCCCAGGACCCATCCCTGGCACCGCCGCCAGACTCACTGTGTGACCTTGGGCAGGGCTCTGCCCCTCCCTCTGCCTCACTTTCCCCATTTGTCCCATAGAGATAATGCCCCTGACCCCACTTTGTAAAGTGCTTTGGGATCTAGGGCTCAGAAGCGCCTATAGAAACACTGCGTATGATCATTGCAATGACAGCCTGGCCTGCAGGGGTTGGCTCAGTGGCTGCTGCCCCTTCTCTCCTCCCCTCTCGCTGAGCAGGGAAATCTCCCAGGACAGGCTGCAGATGCCCTCATCCCTTCTCTGGACAATGGCTCTCTCTAGCTCTTCCAGCTGGGACAGCAGCCACTGCTTCTGCTCCTCCAGAAACCCTCGCAGCTCCTGCCACTCCCAGACGATCTTCTGCCTCTCGGCTTCCGTCTGTTTCTGCAACAGGGAGAGGGCGGCTCAGTAACAGGGGAACAAAGAACATAAGAATGGACATACTGGGTCAGACCAATGGTCCATCTAGCTCAGTATCCTGTCTTCTGACAGTGGCCAATGCCAGGTGCCCCAGAGGGAATGAACAGAACAGGTAATCATCAAGTGATCCATCCCCCGTCGCCCATTCCCAGGTTCTGGCAAACGGAGCCTAGGGACACCATCCCTGCCCATCCTGGCTAATGGCTATTGATGGACCTGTCCTCCATGCACTTCTCTAGTTTTTTTTTTAACCGAGTTAGTATCTTGGCCTTCACAACATCCTCTGGCAAAGAGTTCCACAGGTTGACTGTCCGTTGTGTGAAGAAATACTGTTTGTTTTAAACCTGCTGCTTATTCATTTCACTGGGTGACCCCTAGTTCTTGTGTTATGAGGAGTAAATAACACTTCCTTATTTACTTTTGCCTCACCAGTCATGATTTTATAGACCTCTACCATACCCCCTCTTAGTCGTCTCTTTTCCAAGGTGAACAGTCTCAGGCTTCGTCTACACTGGCACTTCGTCAGCAAAACTTGTTATTCAGGAGTGTTAACACCCCTCCCGAATAACAAATTTTTACCGATGAAAAGCGCCAGGGTGAACAGCGCTTTGTCGGCAGGAGCGCTCTCGTACCAACAAAGCTGCTGCCGCTTGTGGGAGGTGGAAGATTTTTGTCTGCAGAAGACCTCTCTCCTGCCAACAAACAGCAGCTACACTGCGCGCCTTTTAGCAGTACGGCTGTAGCGGCACAGCCATGTTGCTAAAAGCTGTGGAGTGTAGCCATAGCCTCAGTCTTATTAATCTCTACTCACACAGAAGGTGTTCCTTCATCATTTTGTTGCTATTTTCCGAACCTTTTCCAATTCCAATGTATCTTTTTTGAGATGGGGTGACCAGATCTGCACGCAGCATTCAAGATGTGGACGTACCATGGATTTAAACAGAGGCAATATGATATTTTCTCTCTTATTATCTATCCCTTTCTTAATGAGTCCCAACATTCTGTTGACTTTATTGACTGCTGCTGCACATTGAGTGGATGTTTCCAGAGAACTATCCACAGTGACTCCAAGATCTCTTTCTTGAGTGGTAACTGCTCATTTAGACCCCATCATTTTATGTGTATTTGATATTATCTTTTCCAATGTGCATTGCTTTGCATTTATCAACATTGACATTCATCTGCTCGGTAACTGGGGAAAATCATAAATGCGCCTCAGGGCGGTGGCAGAGTTATTTACCAGAACACAAGATCTCTTGTGGTGAGTGATGGGAAGTTCATTTATCCTGAGAAGGGAGGAGGGCTCAGGGCCGGGGTGAGATGTACATCACCACCAGGAGGGACACTTCTCCCCAAAACCTCATCAACTTGCACTGAGCGAAATCCTCCATCTCTGCAGCCCACATTTCATCTCCTTCCTCCCCATCCTCCTAGGAGCTAGACAGGGACACCCAGTGGATTCAGGGGGGCTGGGGTCTTCAGCGGCGGGGGTCCTTCCGCTCCGAGTCTTCAGGGCACTTTGGCGGTGGGTCCCAGAGCAAGTGAAGGACCCTCCGCCGAATTGCCACTGAAGACCCGGAGCGGAAGGAGCCCTCACTGCCGAATTGCCGCCGAAGACCCGGAGTGGAAGAAGCTCTGGGTCTTCGGCAAAGGGTCCTTCACTCGCTCCGAGTGTGTTCAGCGGCACTGAAGGACCTGCCGCCGAAGACCCAACAAAAACTCTCATGGGGGCCCCTGAAAACTCTCGTGGGGGGCCCTGTGGGGCCCGGGGCAAATTGCCCCCCTTGCCCCCCTGGGCGGCCCTGGAGTTAGAAAGGATCCCTGGTCACTGTGACATCCAAACGGCCTGTGGGAAGTGTCTCTCGGCTAACACAGACTGACCATCTCCTGCCCAGCAGCCTCCTGCATCCTAAGGGCATCATGTTACCCACGTGTTTGACCCTGCAGGCTCCCTGGGCTCCAGTGGGGATGGTTCCCTGGCTGAGGCTGGCAGGGTGGGCCCTGCATTCACCATGTCATTCTTATGCCAAGGAAACCTAAGTGGTGGGTGGCTCTGGGCACCTACCAGCAGCTCCTCGCTTTGCTGCTCCTCCTCAGCTTTGGCTGCTTCTCTCTCTTTTCCCAGAGGGGCCAGATGCTTTTGTGGTACCTCCTGGAAGAAGCAGAGGAGGAAGGGTTAGAAACTGCTGTAAACGGGCCTCCCAGCTGTCAGATTTCAGTGCCCATCCTGCCCTGCAGACTCCTGGAACTCAGACTGAGAGGGAAACAGGGAGCAGCTTTTCCAGAAGAAACACAGCGCCCCAGGCTGCAGTGACAGGAGTGCAGCCCAGTTCCCCAGGGCCTCACCCACATCCCAAGCAGCCAACTTCAGACAGTCCCCCACTTTCCCCAGCTCCAGTCCCCAAAGCTCCCGCAGGGCCAGATCTGAACATGGAGCCTCCCAAATATCCCCCAATCCCCAGCCCTGACCCCCCAGCACATCCCAAACTCCCAGCTCCCAGCAGCCCCACAGTCCCCAGCACCAGCCACTCCTCCCACCCCACAGCCCGGCTCTGACACCCCAGATCCACTTCCCCAGCCCCTCGCTCCCTGGCCCAGCCTTGGCTCCGAGCTCTGCAGCCGAGCCGCGCTCCGGGCCCCTCCTGCAGCTCCCGGCCCAGCCGCTCCCGGGCTCCGTCGCACCGGCCCAGCAGCAGGGGCTGCTCCGCCCCGCCCGGGACATTCGCCCCCCACAGCCCCTCACCGGCCGCGGGGAGCTCGG